TGTCCATGAACTGATGAATAGATAAAGAAATGTAGTATGTCCATACAATGAAATATTATTCATCAATATAAAGGAATGAAGTACAGACACATGCTACAACATGGATGACACTTGAATATATTATGCTAGGTAAAAAAAGCAAGCCCCAGAAGACCATATTCCATTTAAAATTCATTTAAATGAAACATCCAGAATAGGCACAGCTATAGAGATGGAAAGTAGATCAATGGTTGCTTAGGGCTGGGTGGTTATTAGGGGGGAAATGGGGAGTGGCTGCTAATGGGTATAGAGTTTGTTTTACAAGGGGCAAAAATGTTCTAAAATTAGATGATGATGATGGTTGTACAACCCTGTGACTATACTAAATATATTAAAAAACACCGAGTTGTGCGCTTTAAATGGGTAAATTTTATGGCTTAGAAAGTTGTTTATTTTTTTACAAAAGCACAGCTCTGAACATGCACATGATGAACTCTCAATCCTTAGAAAAAAAGCAAAAAAGAGAAAAAGAGATCTGCGTTGTGAAAGGACTTTATGTGGTTTACCTGACACAGTCCTGTCAAATCCCTCATGAGGTAGTAGTAGTATTGTCCTCTTTTTATAGATAAGAAAACTGAGACTCAGTCTCTGGCATCTAGTCATGATCACACAGCTAAGATATGGCAGGACAGGGACTGGATGCCAAGTCTTTTTGACTGCTGATCCCAAGTTCTTGTAGTTTTCCATAGACCATGTTGCCCCTTTAAATATACATTCAATGTAATTACATTGAGTGGGTTTGGTTCAGGCCTTACTGGGCTTTACTGTCTTGAGGGAATCCTGGATCAATTGGGGTAATGGTATGTAATGACCCTCCATCCAGGCCTCTGAGATTTAGGGAATAAGTGCTCCAGGGGAGCACCAAGCCAGGAGTATGAACTATTAGTTCATGTCATCTCTCTACTGCAAGGCATTGTCCTCAGATCCTGGGGCTGCACCAGGTGCTAACTACCTATAAGACGCCTGAGTCATCAGCTTGGCAATAAGCTGCCATTGAAGGTTGCTCCCCAGGGCACGTCCAATGAGCAGGTGGCAACTCTTCTCAGTTAAGGGCAGGAATTCTAAGGGTGGTTTCCCTCCCTACAAGATGGAAATATCTCCCAACACTAGACTATCAAGGCCAGGTGATTCCCAGGCCACCATTTAGTACTGTGATTTCCAGATTGGAGGAGAAAATGTGTCTGGAGAAGCCCAAATCTTCTCCTGGCAGAAGGTTAAAAACGCCAGTGATGCCAGGCACAGCTGGCTGATGGCTGGGACAGTGTGCTTCCCAGATTGCAAATATGTTGTAAATTACTCATCAGCTTCCCCCAAGGGGGTTGCCCTAGTCTATCCCTCTGTACTCAGCCACTCAGAAGACTGACTTTAGGAAAAAATTCTTGCAAAGAACAAGACGGTGATCCTACTGGAGTTACGGCTGAAAATATATGCATTTTATTTTTATATCTATAAACATACAGTCAGTGTGACATGGACTCAACCAGCATTCTAGTACTTGGCTCTGCTATATTCTGTAGTTCAGTGATCATTGGTCATAATGATGACAAGGACCACATGCTGTTTCTGAATCCTAAAAAAAGTCCATTATGTTCAGTGGAACTTTAGTACCCTGTGCATGTTGCTGGGTTTTAACTACATGAAAATTGGTAAGTCATGCGTGGTATATATGCTAGCCATTAACCAGAATGTTCAATTCACCAAATCAAACTCTTTTCTAACCATGGTAGAAAATATAGACTGAGTTCCTCCAACAGAGCCCCCAACTGGAGCCCCCAAAGACTTATTTCCTGGATTCCCCCAGAATACAGGGAGCTCAGGGCCACGAAGAGATAGTAGCTGCCTCTGGGTATCTCACTGCCTCGGTACAGATGGAGAATTGGCATTTGTCTGGGCCTTTCTCTAAGCTCAGGGCCTTTCTGGGCCCTCAAACTCAGGTGCTCTGTCTTTTGAATTTCTGCTATATAAATACAAGGGTACTTACTGTGCTGGACTATCCCTTTAATCATCTGTCTGTATTCACTCAAGAGTAAATGAAGTATCTACTTCGGTGAAGCTACTGATAAAGCCCAAGAGGGAATCACTTTCCCACCATGTCCCTATTCTCCTTTTTTCCTGGGACTTGAAGAAAGGTGATGCTTTCTCTTTCCCAGTTGCTGGTTTAATAGCATCCTTTAGGCCCAACAGGCTGTGTCCTGAGTTGGGCTGGCTGGCAGCCAGCAGCTGCCGTGGGACAGGAATATAGAGCTGGCCAGACTTCTTCCTCCCTCCACAGAGACCAGGCCTGGAGTGGGCTGGGGCTTTGGACTCTGGGGGAAACGTCCAGATGAGGTTGGGAGGATGCCCGTTCCCTATAGGCCATTGCTGAAGAACAACAGTTGGCATTGGGGCTTCTGTTCTGGGATGAACGTGAGGACTGATGGAGTAAACACAGCTTAACTTTGGACCTGGGTCCTAAAGGTCTACAGGACCTGGAACTGATAATTCCTTCACTGGAACCTGAGCTGAGGTCTCTTCAGTGGTGCCCTTCCCTTCCTAGGGGTCATGAGACAAGATATGCCCACCAGTCCTAGAACTTTGCTGGGGCAGTGGCAGCTCAGTGAAGTCGGGCAGAGATGTGAGGCTTGCTGCAGCCCACCCCACCCACCAAGAGCATCTAACAGTCTAGAATGCCAAGAAACTGGGCCCAAGCATCGAACCAAGCCCCTGGGGAGGTAATGCCAAGTTTAAGTTCTCATGTTTCTGGGCAGAAGAAATGAGGAAGGAAGAGCAGAGGCTTTCTATATGCCTCTGCCTCTGAGCTGACTGTTTCTACCCAAGAAGGAGAAGCACTACAAACAGAGGAGACATCATAGTGGCCCATCTGGCTCCTGCATAGACACAGAGGCCCTGTGCTAGAGGCAGCTTGAGCCCCATCACCTGCAGGGCCAAGGGGGCTCAGGAATTAGGGAGGTGGGTTCTAAAGTCATGCCAGCCCATAGAGAATCCAATGAAACAGATCTGCCTTTGGAAAAGCAACGGGGGAGCAACATGGAATGTGTTCAGAGAGGTTCCAGGGGACACAGGAAGCCTGTGTCTCTCGCTTGGTGCCACTCTCACCAAAGCAAGAGGAATCCTTGGGCCCCGCATTGGCTAGGGTTCTGATGAGATGACAGAAACCCTTTGTTGGGTGGAGTGGGACTACAGAGTCACCACCAGTGCCTTAAGAAAGTAGTTTCCCCCAAACAATCCTCACTGCCACATGTGGTCCTTGACTGGGCTCCAGGTTGTTCCTTTTGCCCTCCCTTTTCCCTTTCTCCTTCTCTACCCTGTTCAGTAAGAAGTACAGTTTACTTGGTGAGAGTAGAGAGAGGAGGGCCACAGGTGACGCTGATAATGCTAACATGGGCTTTTCCATCATTTGGCCATCTGGAGGGTTGCTAGTATGGCCACCTCTTCAGAGCTATTCACCTGGAGACTCACAGCAACTCGCCCCCTGCTGTCTTCCTCTTTTTCAGTCCGTTCCCTTTGCCTTTCTATGTGAGCCTCCTTCATATGCCTGGGGGCCATCCATCCTTTCCCAAATCTGTGTCGGTGGATTGCCATTTAATTCCTGCGGACAATGTCATGAGATGTAAACTTGGGCTTGTCATGATGGTCGTGATGAAGAGACAATGAGGTGAGAGGATGTGTGTGGGGATCCCCAGCCCTCTGGGTGCTGGGTCATCCATTGGGAGTGTGTTTCTACTCTCAGACACCTCAATTTTGATCAGATATGACTACTCAAAACCAAGACAGCCTTGAAGAAAGAAGAAACAGCCAAACAGTAAGAGCAAATGGGTCAAAAGTATTCAGCATGTAAGGAGGGTGACTACTGAGTGTCAGATTCAGCTTCACCTATGATATGTGGGTGCTGGGGTGGGGGAACAGTTACTGTGTATACGTGAGCCTTAAGTCTGATATGTGGTGCACCTGCCCTTTGAGTCACCTCCTTCTCCTCTTCCTGTCAGTTCTGGGCAGCAGTGCCTGCACTGAGCTGGTTTTTTCCCAGGGCCCCTGTATGTGCCATGACCAGGACAGCTCAGAGAGGTAGCTGCATTAAGTTGCCTAACTAGAACGCTTTCTGTTTGTAGGGTGCACTTGGACTTGTTCTTTATGACCATCCCCTCTTATCTCTAAGCCTTGTTTGGGGCCTGCACAATCTTTCCCCACCAGAGCTTTCCATGGGCCCAGGAGAAGCCTTATTTCAGGCAGCTCTGTTGATCCCCACCATGATGAACAAAATGAAAGGTTATATCTTCATTTTGTTTTTATTTTTCATTTCCTTTCCTTTATTTTTTTAATTTTGTTTTGAGACAATGTCTCACTCCGTTACCCATGCTAGAGCGTACCTCTGGGCTCAAGTGATCCTCCCAATTCAGTGCCCTGAGTAGCTGGGAATACAGGTGTGTGCCACCATGGCCAGGTAATTTTTCTATTTTTCGTAGAGACGAGTTCTCACTATGTTGCTCAGGCTGGTCTCAAACTCCTGGCCTCAAGCAATCCTCCTACCTCAGCCTCCCCAACTGTTAAGATTACAGGTATGAGCCACCACACCTGGCTATAGTTTCATTTTCAACCCCACTTCAACTGAGCCAGAACACCCATGAATCTCCCTGAGATCTCTGTACCTCTAAAACTTTGCTTTAGATCTAATGCAATTCTGTAGTTGGCTCTATTTATCGCTTGTTTGCTATTTTTGCTGTACATTCATTCACTGACTTGATCACAATATGTCATCATAGGCATCCTTTGTGGAACAGGCACATGTGAAGGTCAGGTGTCTTTCCCACTAGGTGTACCAGGTGGGACGCAGCGCTATAGCCTGCTACTGGTAACCAGGTACTGTCGTCATGGGGTGAACACTAAGGCACAGAAGTTCCTCCCTCTATTTCCCCAGGGTCCAAAGGGGCTCCGGCACACTGAAAACAGAGGCTGAGCCCTACCTGCCTTTATCATTGGAGGTGGAAGAGGCTGGCTGGCAGGCCTGGAAAAGATCATCTTCCTGGAATCCAGCAGGAGGCGGCAATACCCCGCAATCAGGCAGGCAAAGTTGGTGGCTTCGGGCCACTCCATCAACAGCACCAGAGGCTGCAGAAGAATCGGGAAGAAACATAAAGACATGGAAAGCAGAGAGGCAGGTACATTTCTGGAAGGATGATAACAAAGAAAAGATGACTTGCTTAGTTATGGGAACCATACTTTCTGAACTCCAAATTGAGGCATGTGGCCTGACAAATAATTCTTCTGATCTGGGAATTTCTTTGTAGTAAACTCTTATCCAGGTTATCGAAATTAAACCAAACTTTAATTATACATTTAATGAACCACCTTTACTGCAAATGACTAAAATTATATAACATGTGACTACTGTGTTGGCTGTATGTGTGTTTGTCAGGGCTTGGCAGATGTGTGGGCTAATTGGAGTGAAGCTGGGAGTCTAGGCTAGACTGTAGAATGGCCCTGGTATACTCTTGACTCTAAGCTCCTTGGGTGAGAGAACAATCTCTTGCTCATCTCCACATGCCCCTGAAATATCCAGAACAGCTTCCTGGACATAGAGGATACTATTTGGAATCAAGTTCTGTGTCTTTTGGGCCAAAGTCTTTCTGGCCCACCCTGCTCAGAGCCTCATACTCTATCCCCTTTCCTCTGTTTCCCAACATGGCCTCATGATGTTAACTGGTGCTTCTCAAAAAAGCTCCTTGTTCAAAAATGTTTGTGACACAGGGTTAAACAAAGCTATGCAGATAGTTTTACTATGGCAATTCTTAAGACCCTTTAATATATTAACGTGCACTGTGAAACTTCAAAAGAAAGGCTTTAGTATTCCAAGTTTTCCAAGTTTATTTGACCACAAACATCTATTATATTTTTATAGAACATCTCATGGTAACAGAGTTGTTGTAGTTGGTTTTAACCCACTTTGGAAAATACTCGAGTACTCTGTTGACTTCTGTTCCTAACCCTAAATGAGGCAGATTAGTTCGGGGATGAACTGCTTCAAAGACCAGGCAGTGCTATACAAAAAAAATTCAGCACCTTTTCAAGAAAACTTCATAATATCTGTACTATAATTTAAAAAGTGTGCCTTGATTAAGCCTGCGTCAGGCTGAAGTCAGCTATGGGGGTGTTCTCTTTGGAATAGGGCAGTGGTCTCCAGACTCCTGAAGAGTGACTAACGAGGGAGCCATGGGGCTGTCGGTGGCCTAGGCCTGAGGCTCCCAGACCAGGCATTAAGAGCTGAAAGAATTAAGCAGAGGGAATGAGACCCTTCTCTGACCAGTGAGGAGGCTACTGCAATAGTTCAGGAGAGAGGCGAGTAGGGCCTCTGCTAGGGTAGTGGCCATTCAAGTAAAAAGGAAGGGACATCATACAGACTTGACAGGACTTGGTCACCAACTAGATTAGCTGCCTTTGGCTGTATCATTATCACCTGGGGAACAATTCAGACTCCAAACCAGCTCAGCTGTTAGATAAAGTTGTACCAGTTTTCCTTGCTGTCTCCCTGGATCCCAATATACATCTTGAGTTGAATACTTTGTAGTTCATATATTCTTTTTCTTTCTTTTAAGCATGAGATACTTGCTTTACATGCAGTTCATATAGATCAGGGGTTGACACACATTTTCTATAAAGGGCTAGATAGTACATATTTTAGGCCATATAGTTTGTCACGACTCTGCCATTGTATGTAGTGTGAAAACAGCCATGGATGGTCTGTAAACTAAACAAATGGGTATGATTATGTTCTAATAAAACTATTTTTACAGAAACAGGCAGGTCGGATTTGGCTTATGGGCTATAGTTTGCCACCTGATCTAGAAGTGAGATTTCTTCCCAGCTAGATACAATTGCATTTATTCATCACACATCTCAACTTGTTACATTTGCTGACAGACAGTGATCGCCTTCTCTTTTGGAAATTCTTCTCTTGGCTTCTGTTTCTGTGAAGTGACACTGTGTTCTGGGTCTGTAAACTCTGACCATCTTTGGCTGGCTCTTCTTGTGCAACCTCCCCACCCTATCTATGCCCCAGGCTCAGTCTACAACCCTCAATTCTTCTCCCTCAGGGTGTAAGCTTTCACCTCTATGGTGGGGAATCCAAAATTCCAGTCTATTTCTCCCTGGAATTCTTTTTCTATCTCCCAAACTCATATGGTGCTATGTCTATACCATACAATCTTGTTCTGGATCAAACACTATCATGAATTATTTAATAGTAATTGTACATCCAATTACAACACATGCCACAGTAAGGCATTTGGACTCTGCCCCACAGGAAACAAGTGATGCTCCTATAGAGTTGGTGCAATACCATTGGGAGGAAAAAGGAACAGTCTCTACCCAGAGGAACAATGGCTCTTTTCTCCAGAGAGAAAGGGGTTGGGGATAAGGTATTACTTTTTTTTTTTTTTTTTTTGAGACAGAGTCTCACTTTGTTGCCCAGGCTAGAGTGAGTGCCGTGGCGTCAGCCTAGCTCACAGCAACCTCAAACTCCTGGGCTCGAATGATCCTTCTGCCTCAGCCTCCCGGGTAGCTGGGACTACAGGCATGCGCCACCATGCCCGGCTAATTTTTATATATATATATCAGTTGGCCAATTAATTTCTTTCTATTTATAGTAGAGACGGGGTCTCGCTCTTGCTCAGGCTGGTTTTGAACTCCTGACCTTGAGCAATCCGCCCGCCTCGGCCTCCCAAGAGCTAGGATTACAGGCGTGAGCCACAGCGCCCGGCCAGGTATTACTTTTGAGTCATTATTAGGAAGGGACAGAAGGGATGTTTGTACCTCAAGTTAATAAACACTTCTCAGTCACAATGGAATGGTCAACCTTATATACAACAAAATAACAACAAAAGGGATGGAAAGGGGATGGGTTTGGGGGTGGGAAGAGAGTCAGATATCCCTTCCCACTGCACCCCCTGCCACCAATTGGAAGAAGGGTACAGAGAGGTTGGGTGTGGATGGCTATCACTACCATGAAGGCCCAAGATTCATTAGGCTTGCATCAGGAGAATTCACAGATATCACCGCCATCCCTACTGCCACTGCTTTCTTTCAGACCCTTATCATCTTCCTCCCAGACCAAAACTTCCCAAGGCATGTGTGAATGGGTGGCAAATATGCTGAGATCCTGAGCCCCTCAGCCTCTGGGTCCTATTGCCTCTGGCTATAAGCTGCCTTATCTGTGTGTGTATGTATGCCTCATCTGTTTGTATGTTTAGTCATACAAATTGTGACATTTTTCTCATGAGATTGAAAAGGTTGGGACATACTAACCTAAGGACCTCCACTAGCCTCCTGATTGGGCTCTCTGTTTCTAGTCTCTTCCCACTTAGCTCCACTTCACCTCCATATTGCTACCTAAGGGGTCTTTCTAAAGTACAATCTCATTGTCATTTAAAATTTTCACTAGCTCATCACCTATAGGATAAAATGCAACTGTCTTTTTTTTTGTTGTTTTGTTTTTTTGAGACAGAGTCTCACTCTGTTGCCCGGGCTAGAGTGCCGTGGCATCAGCCTAGCTCACAGCAACCTCAAACTCCTGGGCTCAAGCAATCCTTCTACCTCAGCCTCTCGAGTAGCTGGGACAACAGGCATGCACCACCATGCCCGGCTAATTTTTTCTATATATTTTTAGTTGGCTGATTAATTTCTTTCTATTTTTAGTAGAAATGGGGTCTCGCTCTTGCACAGGCTGGTTTTGAACTCCTGACCTTGAGCAATCCTCCCACCTCGGCCTCCCAGAGTGTTAGGATTACAGGCATGAGCCACCGAGCCTGGCCTAAAATGCAACTGTCTTACCATGGCACACAAGCCCTTCAGGACCTGGACCCAACCTCCATCTCCAACCTTATCTCCCATTAGCTCTGCCAGTGCTGTCCTCCATCTGTCCCTCATCTTATGCTCCAGCAAGGACATTTACAGGTCATATGTTCTTTCACACTTTCATACCTTAACCTATGCCACTCCCTCTGGCTGAAAGGCTCCTGTGCCTTGCTTTTTCTATGCAGCAAGCTGCTACATATTGGCTAGTGCCTCCTGGAGAGCATGAATGACTGAGAGATGCATCCATTCATTCCAGAACAGGGCCAACCCAGTTCCTGCCCTCATGGAGCTTACAATCTAGCAGGAAATAAGACACGAACCAAATAATCACACAAATGACTATGGCTGTGAGGTGTGATAAGCACTTTGAAGGAAACATAGGGAGAGCTATAAGAACATAGAATGTCCTGGAGCACTCCGTGGGTGGGTGGGTGTGAACATGTGTGTGTGTGTATGACTAATTTGGTTTCAGAAGCTGGAGAAAGCTTTGAGGAAATGACATTGGCTGACAAATATAATGAGGGACCATTTGACCAAAGTACAGGCTGAGTGGCTGACTGACTGACTGACTGAAGGACAGGCTGGCGGGCTGGCTGGTTGCAAGACTCACTCCTGCCCTGGCCGACCAGCGGTCTGCAGGGCAGGCACAATGCCTACGGGCCTCACGTTCTGGCGGCTTAGCTACCTGGCTGGCTGCTTGGCTGGCCGATGGACAGAATAACTGACTGACTGGAAGCCGGGAGATTAACTCGTTGACTGGCTTAGATGTATGACTTCAGTTTCCCCCTTTACCCCTAATATAGCCCAATGCTGGTAATGAAACAGCAGAAGGCAAAATCTTGCGCACAGAGAGGGCCAAGCACGTCCCCAGCTGGCTCAGCACAGCATGGCAGAGCACATCAGGAACCTCTCTTCGGCGTCCCCAGCCAGCCAGCCAACTAGGCCCCGGCACGGGCCAAATGCTGCTTGTAAAAGCAACACAGATGCACTTTTTGCCAGCAGGGGTAAAAATCAAACCAAAGGCAGGCAAGCCAAGAGGTTGGATAGGTTTCTTAGAAACCTTCATAAACAACATTTTATTTTAAATAGGATTTTAATGATCTCCACATCCAATGTAATGCCTGTCCCTAAAGAAAGCACTAGAGCAATAAAGCTCAAACATGAAAATAAGAGACACAATGGGCCACGAGAGATCTCTTGGGACATCCCTTTGATGGTTTCTTTCCCCCCTACGTGCTTCTGTGGTAATGGGGTATGGTAATGGCCCAGTGGCATCTCAGTCTGAGGCTGCCGTCTCTTGGAGAAAGATATTTCAATACTACCTCATGTTTGCTCCACTAAAAGCAAGTAAGCTGAGTGAAAATTATAACTAAATATGCCCAGGCCATCTTCCAATGGAAAAGGAAAAAAGGAGAATGGAGTCTGAGGCATGAACGAGCCAGGAGAAGGTACAGCAGGGATTGATTTGACACGTTCCAGCTTCATCTCTTTCCCAGGGTGCCCTGGGCGCTCTCAGGCACCCAGAACTTTGTGATGCCAACCAGGGAGGGGATTGGCCCTGGGGTAGCCTCGGCTCACTCTAGCATTCCTGAAAACAAAAAAAGGATGGGACTCCAGGGGCCTGGCAGGGCAAGGGTACAAGATGATGGTCCTTGAGACCCAGAGGGCCAGCACATTTGTGCTCTTGCCTCCGCAGCACAGGGAAATTTGGGCACAGCCAGCCAATTTGGGGGCAAGGCAGAATATCGCTTAAGGCAGTGGTTCTCAGGCCCGATACACATCAGCAGGGAAGACCTGTACACCCCTGGGCCCACCCCCAGAAATTCTGATTTAAATGGTCTGGAAGAACCTGGGCATCTGGTGGTTTTAAAATCTCCACACATGATGACAATGTACGGTCAGAGCTGAGAATTGCTTTAAATGAATAATTTTCATAATATCACTAGGCCCTTCCAGAATATTCCCAGAGCAGAGGGGAAGTGGGCCAAGCCTGGTTTCTAACTTCCACGTCTCCTGTTAAGGATGCTCGACAGCCTTGCTTCAGGGCACCTATGCAGTGGGGTGCTGCTAAACAGTTCACAATGAGTTCTTTCAAGTCCTGATTGGTAGCGGTGGCCAATTTCTCTGGTGTACATACTCCCGCCATGGCTGCTTTCGAGCTATCAATGTGACGGCACTGAACGCACAGTTGGGAGAGATGTGTCCAACTGGCTGTGGCATGCTGTGTGAGGCGGCTCCAGCACACCACTGACTCTGTGGGCAGACCCCTGCTAGGCCCAGGGAAGCCATTCTCCAACTAGAAGCTTCCCAAACCCTGTTCCCACAATTCCTTCCTAGAGGCACCTCTCAGTAACCACAAATATTAATGACATAAACTGCCTCCAGGAAGCTTTCTTTAATACTCCCAGCCAGAATTTTGCCCTCCTCTGTATTCCTCTAACACTCTCTTGCTATACCTCCTCCTTTGGTGTGTCATGTATTTGTACACTTCTTTCCTACAAGATGGTAAGCTTCTTTTTTCTTTTTTTTTGAGTCAGAGTCTCACTCTGTTGCCTGGGCTAGAGTGCCGTGGCGTCAGCCTAGCTCACAGCAACCTCAAACTCCTGGGCTCAAGTGATCCTTCTGCCTCAGCCTCCCTCCCGAGTAGCTGGGGCTACAGGCATGTGCTACCAAGCCTGGCTAATTTTTTTCTATGTATTTTTAGTTGGCCAGATAATCTCTTTCTATTTTTAGTAGAGACGGGGTCTAGCTATTCCTCAGGCTAGTTTCAAACTCCTGACCTCGAGCAATCCACCCGCCTCGGCCTCCCAGAGTGCTAGGATTACAGGCGTGAGCCACCACGCCCCACCAAGATGGTAAGCTTCTTGAGGGCAGGGAACCATGTTATTTTTTTTTCTTTCTTTTTTTAAAAAAAATCTGTGTATCCTCTATTGTGTTTAGTGTGCTTCCTAGTAATAGTATTAATAAGTTCATACTAAAAGACTGTCAAATGGAAACCTTGACTTTTTTTCGTCCCTCAATCTTCGTCTTTTCCTTCTACCACAGTATCATCCATCTTGCCTCTGCTGTGCACATAGCACCATTCTACGGTACACTTGGAATCCGTGTAGTAGGCAGCAGGGTTAGGTGTGATGCGAGAAGACATGTGCAATGTTTGTGCAAGAACAGTGCGTGGGGGAGGGTGTGCATGCACATCTCACTCATTCTGCATGTTTCACATGCACGTTTTCTTTCTCATTACCGCTACTGTCCATCCAGCTTGGGCCCTTATCCCTCCACTCCTGGACTAGTGCCATGGTCTCCTCCTTGCTGCCCTGGCTGCACACTAGGCTTGCTCCCACCTATCTTGCACCCTGGTCCAAGTCAGCTTTCATTTGGTCACCCCTCTGCTGAAGGACCTACTGTGGAATCCTACTATTCTACCACATGACTCGAAATTCCCCAGACTGGCCTTCGAGGCTTTTTAACGAACTCATTCTGCCCACCCCCAATCTCCCCAGTCTCCTTTCGCGGTATTCTCTCTAGCCAAGCAACTATGCTTACCGACCTGCACATATGGCTTGCTTATTTCTGTGCTTGCTCCTTGCCTTTGAACACATCCCACTTCTCCCTGCTAATTCATGCCTATCACTTCAAGATCCAGCTTAAAACACCCTCTTGTGGGAAGCCAGTCTGGTTAACTCCTTCCTATTCTTTTCTTCCATGTTCCGTGCCACACTTCACTATAACATTTACTTCATATTACTTTTTCTTTACTGATGTTTTGCTTTTGAAGAAATAACAGGTCTCATTTGTTGAGTATTTAGGATGTGCTGGGCAGTGTGCTAAGACATTTTATGTGCATTTTCTCATTTTACCCTGACAATGACCTTCTGAGATAGGTGCTGCATCCTGCAGTTGAGGGAATCAGGGTTCAGAGAGGTGAAGACACTTTCTCGAGGCCACACAACTTGGAAGTAGTAGAGCTGGAATTTGAACCTGGTCTATCTGACTCCAGAGTTCTATAGATGTTCTCAAGTTGTTTTTAAGGCAGGTCATGTGTCTTTGTGAGTCTAGCCTCCCCAGTAAGAGTGTGGCCTGTCTGGGGCAGCAATTCATGCCCCAAACTGTGTCTGGATCACTCTCAGAAAGAAGCACAGTGCTCCTCACTCAGCCAACACCCACAGATCACCCGCTCAGCCTGTCTCTTCCCAGAGCTCTGGTCATATAGGTCTCAAACCTGTGTGTTCTCAAACTGGTTGTACTACATGATCACCTGGGAAACTGAAAAAAAAGTTGCCAATGCCCAGGCTGCAGCCCTGACCAATGAAATCATAATCTCTGGGAGTAGGATCCAGGCATCTGGTTTTTTCTTAAGGCTCTCAAGCAAATTCTATTGTGAAGCCAATGTTGAGAATCACAGAAGACAGGTCAGTTGGAAAGCCGCTTTTCTGTTTTAAACCCCTTTTATTTCTCAGGAATCCACATATTCTCTGCATGCCTTGTCTTTCCTCCCCCTTCCCTGCCAGTCCATTTGGCCAACAACATCCGAGGAGGGCGGCCACCATTGGTTCAGGAGGTAGCCAGAAGCCAATTAAACATTGGCTCCAAGCAGGTTCCTAAACCAAAGGGAATCCTATGAATCACAGGTGGAGAAATTAACATATTAAAGCTTTCTGGGTTTCAAAAATACAAAAATAAAGCAAATAATTTGCTCTTTTAGAAACAGCAAACACTCCACCTCTTAATCACGGCTAACAACATCTCCCCCCCTGGGAAATCCTTTAAGAAAGGAAAGTTGCACCTCCTCTAAGAGCTTCCGCCAGCTGGCAGACAGGCCTGCCCCCAACCCACACTGGTCACTGGTATTCAAACAGGAGAGCTGTGGAGGGGGTGGCTGGCCACGGCTGCCAGACTTTGCACAGGCGACAGCTGCTTGCCAGTCCAAATGAGCTGGTCTATGGGGAAGGTTCTAAGGTTCTGGAAGAGATGGATTCCAGGAGGTGAAATAGGGACTAAGCTCCGCCTGCTCCCTTTCTCCCCAGGTGCCCTAAGGTGTTGTGTCCATGTGCTCAGACACCCCCCTCCATGATTCCAGTTGTGTGTGCACCTATGGCAGGGCCACCCCCAGTGTGCACACAGAATGGGTTGAGGTGAGCCAAGATATTCATCCTTTCAGCCTCTGGGACAGCCAGGCAGGGCCTGGGGTGGGCAGAGTCTCTGAGGCTACTCCATTCATCCCCAATGTTCCATGCGAATGTAATTTTCTATGTGTGCTATAGCATGAGAAAGATCAGAAAGCAATGGCCTGGGGGTAGCTCTAAGTTCTCCAATTCCCCTGGCCTGCGCTGAAGACATGTCTCAGGTTGATCTGACACTCCCTAGCCTTCCCTAGTGCTGGTGGAACTTATTATGTGGTCAAAACAGCATGTCCCAGAGGGTTGAGAAGGGAAAGATGAGCCCCAAAGGGTCCAGGGTCTGAACCTCTTTAGAATCACTGAACCTCACCTAACAGACTCAAACTCTCTTTCTCAAGTTTACTTCTTCCTCTGTTCCCAAGGCCTGTTTCTAGACAGAAGTAGCCCCCAAAGCAGGGCTTACCTTGGCATCCATGATGCTGGTCTCCACCCGGGCCACGCCCTGGTTCTCCCGGAACAGCTGGATCTTGCTGATCTTGCTGAACTCGGACAGCACAGTGGTGAGGTTGGTTTTGAGGTCAATAACATGGCTGATGCCGTGACGGGGTCCCACCAGGAGAGTGGTGGCTGACTGCTTCTCGTCCTGATGCCCAAGAGTGTGGCAGGCAGCATTCACAGAAAGAAGGGGTGGAGGAGGTGGGGAGAAGAGGCAGGAGTAGGAAATAGAAAACATGCATTGGACTGGTTCTGCTGGGGACATCTGGAAATATCTGGGGCTTGGTGCCAGGGCAAGAGGACGACGTTGAGGGGAAAATGGTTTGGGACTCCCCTGTTCCCAGGGTAGGGCCCCAGATCATCAGTTTCATTGGACACCTTAGCCTCGGCAGCAGGGCTGGCTCTAGCAATATCATGAAGTAGGTGAGGTTCGTTTGGGTGTCTTTGGAGCACCCTCTCCTACCAAGCCCCAGGGCCTTGCCATTTGTTGCTGCAGACCATTAAAGGCCACCCCCCCAACTCGTGCTCTACCTGATTAGGTAGCATCCTGGTCTTAACCCTCCCCCCACCAACAGCCGCTCAAACTTGCCCTGTGCCATAAGCTAAACTGGCCCAGTAACTCTGCCTAAGGTGTTAAGGGGTGATTAGGCACTCCATGGGGGCCTCCCTCCCTAAGAGGACATTTGCCCTTAATAGGCACTCCAGCAGTCTGAACTGAAAGGAATGGCTGAAAGGAATTTCAGCAGTGGCAGGTGGGTGGAAGAAAGATTTGAGGGTGTGTGTGGGTAGAGGGAGGGGAAGGTGGGCTCTCAGTGTTCTGCAAATCCCAGTATGTAAATGGACATCTCTAGGCCTGGTAGACTGGATCTCCTTAAGTGGTCCTGACAGACTTCTTGGAGCGATCAAACCTGAGCCCTCTGTCAGCCTATTCCTTGGCATTAGCATCACCCCGAGGAACCTCTTGCATCTGCCTATAAACACTTTGATAAGTGGCTTTCCACCAGTGTGCTGCACTAGCATGACAGTGCTCCTGGGAGCAAGACAAGCACCTGGATCCAATCAGCAAGATGATTTGAATTTCCTTTCAGCAGGGTAAACTAGCCTGGGGCACAGTCTTAAGGGTGGGACCAGCTGTGCCCGCCCCAGGGTGTTTTTGCGGCAGCCTAGTGCCAGGCGGAGCAGGGGGAAGCATAAGGACTCAGGAAAGCTGGGGTCGGGAACTGCGGGGGTAAGTGGAAGGGAAACAAAAGAGAGCAGGGTCTGGCAAACTATGGCTCGTGCAGCAAATCTAGCCCACTATCTGCTTCTGTATGGCCCACAGGCTAAGAACAATTTTTACATTTTTAAATGGTTGGGGGAAAATATCAGAAGGTCCACGTCTTGTGACCTGTGAAAATTACATGAAATTCAAGTCTTCCTGTCCATAAATCGTTATTGGCACACAGCCACGTCCATTTGTTTCTGCATTGTCTCTAGCTGCTTTCTCCATGCGACAGGGGGGGCAAGTAGCTGCCACAGAGACCTGTATGGCGCCTTGAAAAGCCTAAAACCTTTACTATCTGGCCCTTTACAGCAAAAGTTTGCAGACCTCTAAAATACAAGAAGGGGGACACAAAAGGGCCATGAAGGGATACTGAAAGCAAATATCTCCTACTTTATCATTTTACCAGAGGCAGGGCCAGAGCACCTCGGGGAGGCAAAGGTAGAAGAAGGAGGAAGTGAAGGAAGGTGTTTAGAAATATTTGCCCCTCCGACCCCGCACCCAAGGATAAGAACCAACAATGGGCCCCTCCCGGCTTCCCCCACCCTGCTCCACTGACCAGGCCCACAGTGTTGAACAAAACGCCAGTGAAGGTCGGAAGTTCATTCAGAATTCGAAGATACTGGAGCTTTGCCTGAGTTGCAGAGCCCTGTGGAAACAAGCCACGCAGAAATATGAGAAGCCCGAAGAGCAGAGGAAAAGCAAACCCACATTCTCAAAGAGGAGTCACACCATCCTGGGACAGGCACTAGTCAGCAAGCCACAGTGTGGGAACGTGAGGAGGCCCTCTGTAAAACCGCAGGAAGCTTTCAGTGTGCGCAGCTCTTACCTCGAGCATCCCTGCTCCTTCCTCCTGATCCTCCTTCCTAAAGCATCCGGCTGACTCATTTTGTTCTTTGGTTCATTCCGACACTTGCCCCCAGTGTGACACACTACCTAATCTATACCTCCCTGCTGAGACCCTCTGGACCCCTAGAGTCACCTACATACTGGCCATCTCCAGCCAGGGGTCCCACTTGATGGCTTCAATACTGAGCACCCCAAAGTCCCAAACCTGCTCTTCATCTGGCATTCCTGGTCTCCATCAGCATCTTCCTGGAGATCGAGCCAGAAACCTGCGAGTCACACTGGACTCCTCCTTCATCCTCTCATGTGAGTGCCACCAGTCACCAAATCATCTTGATTCTACCCTCTAACACCTGCTATCCCCCTTCTCTTCTCTAGCCCCACAGTCACTGCCTTGACATTCCCACCTGTGTCAAGGTGACAGCCAGGGTACCTTCAGGACTGACATTCTTTCCCCTCTTTCCCTCCAGTGCCTCCACACAGTTAGAGGGAGGGTCCTAAAACACAAGTTTCTTTATTTACTTAGAGACAGGGTCTTACTCTTTCACCCCGGCTAGAGTGCCGTGGTGTCATCATAGCTCACTGTAACCTCCAACTCCTGGGCTCAAGGAATGCTCCTGCCTCAGCCTCCCCAGTAGCTGGGACTACAGGTGTGCACCACCATGCCCAGCTAATTTTTCTATTTTTTTTTTTAGAGATAGGGTCTTAGGAGTTCTCACTATGTTGCTTAGGCTGGTCTTGAACTCCTGGCCTCAACCAATCCTCTCACCTCGGCCTCTCAAAGTGCTGGAATCATAGGCGTATGCCACCATGCCCCATTGGCTGCCAGCTTAAACCCTTCAGTGGCTTTAGGCTGCCTACAGGATGAAGTACAAGCCCTTTCCTTGGCACACAAGGCCCTCCATGGACTGGCTCCTTCCTCCTCTCTTGCTCCTACCCCTCACTCCTTGTATACCCCTTGCACTCTCTGTACTTGCTTAGGCTGAACTATTTGCATTTCTTTTCTTGCACCAGAGACTCTGATATCTCTGGGCCTTTGTACAGATGGATCTCTCTGCCTGGGGAAGTCTTCCTTACTACCCATGGCCACCAATTCACCTAGATACACTCCTACCTGTCTGTCCTTCAAAACCCAGCTCTGGCATCAAATACATCAATTCCTGGCCTCTTCCACCTCCTTTGAGTTGGGCCTGGTGTTCCTTCTCTGAGCTTCCAGAGTGCCCGCGCCTATCACGCTGTGTTGGGACTGACTATTGTATTTCCCCACTAGACTGTGCCTGACTGAGGACCAAGCCTAGGCCCTCTTCATCTTTGTATTTCCAGCCGGAGCACTGGGGCGCCTCAGAAAATGTTAGCTGCAGGCGGGCTAGGTGGCTCACGCCTGTAATCCTAGCTCACTGGGAGGCTGAGGTGGGCGGGCGCATTGCTCAAGGTCAGGAGTTAGAAACCAGCCTGAGCAAGAGCGAGACCCTGTCTCTACTATAAATAGAAAGAAATTAATTGGCCAACAAATATAGAAAAAATTAGCCGGGCATGGTGGCGCATGCCTGTAGTCCCAGCTATTCGGGAGGCTGAGGCAGGAGGATCGCTTGAGCCCAGGAGTTTGAGGTTGCTGTGAGCTAGGCTGACGCCATGGCACTCACTCTAGCCTGGGTAACAAAGTGAGACTCTGTCTCAAAAAAAAAAAATAAAATAAAATAAAAAGAAAATGTTAGCTGCGGAGACATTGGTGAGCACTGGTGCTCTCAGCTGAGAAGAAAACAATCTAATTAAATATGCACAGCAAGGTGGGAATGGCTTAACTCCCAGGGGAAATTTGCATCTTAAAAGAGAAGCTAGTTGGGAATAGGAGGAATCTGAAATGGGTGGGAATATCTGGGGGCGACTGTGTCCCGTGTCTACATCTGCATGCTGATTCTCCTGCTTCTCCCCACCCTCCTGCTTCTCGCCACCCTCCTGCTTCTTGGGCAGGAAGCACAAGCAGACTGGGCCTTAGGAGCCTGAGCAGGGCCTGCAGGGTTCTGGGCAGCAGTGAGTCAGAGGCCCTCAGAGCACTAGAAGGTGGAAGCAGTGACCTGAGCCCTTGACACTGCATGGTGACCCATTCTCCAGGTCAGGCTTTGTCCCTTAACTCTTCTCTGACCCTTGAGCTGTTTTTTTTTTTTTTTTTTTTAATCTCCCAGAATTCCATATCCCAGGATCGATAAATTAGAAAGCTGTTGAGGGACGGAGCAGTCATTTCCATGGAAAACATGGGCCTCCCCAGGGTCCAATGCTTTCCACGTGACAAGTGCTCAGCCAGCACTAACTAATCAGTGAAAGGACCTGAGAATTATCTCTTCCTATACCTTAGCCCCTTTGTATTGAGGGCCCTGAGCGCTGTAAGTGACGTGCCACTGAGCTGTCTGTGGGGGAGGCCCAGGCCTCTCCATAACTGCTCCCATACCTGGCCAAGCTGGAGGTGCACGTGAGTCAAAAACAGAGGTGAGGATCCCCAAAGGATCAGACCCTGCTTGAAAACCTCTCAGGATCCCCCTAGGGCCAGCAGTGCTGCAGTAGTAGCACGGCGCGCCCAGTGGCCTACTCTGGGTACCTTGGTGCCGCAGGAAGGATGTGTTTGGTGAGCTTTCAGTTGCTGAGAGAGAGATTTTCGGAGGTTCTTCTCTTTGATGCCCTGCAGGAGGGAGGGGGGAAGAAAGGGTTCCAGGCCCCACTCCTTCCTAAAAACAGAAGAAAAGTAAGAAATTAGTGAGAGAGACACAGCGGGGCAGAGACAGGAAGATGGTAAGATAGAAATTGAAAGTGAGAGAGAGGTGGAGGTGGGGGACTAGAGACTGGGAGAAAGACACAGGGATGGTGACCAGAGAGTAACATTGGTCACTGTTCCCCAGTAGAAGCTGTAGCTCTAGGGCCTCATGGTCTAGGTGTGAGGAACTCCAACTTTCACTCCCATCACGTGCCCTACGTTTCTGAAGAAGTACAGCCTAGCTCAACCAGTGTACTGTTTCCCTGCACAACTAGTTGCCCCACATCCCGAAAGGCCCCAGCACAACTCACTCCACATTCTTCAGCGAGATCTTCTGACTAGGTCGAGTGGCTGAGACAGTGATATAGATGTGGAGGGCAGCAAGGCCCAGAAGCATCTCTGGCTTGGGGTCCATTCCAAAGCGTTCTCGGATAACATCGTTCCGACTCTGCGAGAGAAGGCAGTCCAAGCCCATCAGTTAAAGGAGACATTCCCTCCCCATCCCCTGATCTACTCCCTTACATCCCAGTAAAGAATCATGGTGTCAGTAAGGCATGCTAGATCAAGGGAGAGGGGAAGGTGCTGCCCTTGGGGAAGAGATGACAGAGGAGCCTTGGGTCTTGAAGACGCTATTTGCTTTGTTCTCAGTGACACGTGCACCCAATGGCAAGGCACCAGTGGGCAGAAAGTTTAATTCACCACAAAAGCGAGACATGGGACCACTCCCTTTCTTTCCTCCTCTTACTGAAGATGCTCCCACTTATTCTCAGGGATATACTCACCCCTCAGCCATACAAGCCTTCTCTACTAGCTCAGAAGGGCACAAGGGAACAAAGACATTGAGCAGGACTCTCCATAGGGCTCTGGTCCAGAGGCCCAGAGTGAGAAATGGATTGCAGGGATGGGGCAGATATTCTGTTCCTTGGTGTCCAAAAGACAAAAACATTGATGAGTCAATCTTCCCTATGCTATCCTAGAGGGGGGTGCCCTGGAACTGCTGGCCAAGGGTATAATAACCCAATAACCCTGAGGGTCACAGCTCCAGCTATGAATGAGTCAGCCTTAGGTAGACCAGTTGCCCATTTTGTTGAGGTGGAACCAGGACAGGCTAAGGGACTAGAGAGCCACAGTAGTATCAGTATAGTATAGGAGAGGGTGGAAAAGGCATACTTTGTCAGTGATCTTCTATGTAGAAAATCCAATGGAATCTACAAGAAACAACTAGAACTACAGTTGTCCCTTATTACCCTGGGAGGATTGGTTCCAGGACCCCCGCAGATACCAAAATTCATGGATGCTTAAGTCCTTTACACAAAATGGCATAGTATTTACACATAACCTACGAAAATCCTCCTGTATACTTTAAATCACCTCTAAATTTCTTATAATATCTAATACAATTTAAATGCTATATTAATATAGTTATAAACTATAACTAACAGTTATTATGCTATATTTTAAATTTTGTATTATTTTTGTTGTATGGTTATTTTTTCTTGATTTTTTTCAAATATTTTCAAAATCCACAAATGTGGAACCTGTGGATACAGAGGAACAAATGTAATATGTGAGTTTAGCAACGTTTCAGGATATAAGATCACTATATAAAAACCAATTGTATTTCTGTATGCTAGCAACAAATAATTGGAAATTGAAATTAAAAGTCAAAATCATTTACAATAGAATAAAAAATATGAAATAATTAGGGAAAAAGCTGACAAAATATGTGAAAGACCCATACATTGAAAACTATAAAGCACTGTTGAGAAAAATTAAAGAAGACCTAAATAGATATAGAAATACTATGTTCATAGGTTGGTAGATTCAATATTGTTAAGATGTCAATTCTTCCCAAATTGATCTATAGATTCAACATAATCCCAATCCAAATCACAGCAGGTTTGTGGTAGAAACTGTCAATCCGGTTCCAAAATTCACACGGAAATGCAAAGGACCTAGAATAGCCAAAACAATGTTGAAAAAGGAGAGCAAAGTTGGAGAACAAATACTACCTGATTTCAAGACTTATTACAAAGCTTCAGTAAACAAAAGAATGCGATGTTAGCATAAGGATAGACAAATAGATCAATGGATCAGAATACAGAGTTCAAAAATAGATCACACATCTAAGGATACCCTAATCATGAAAAAAAAAAAAATAGATCACACATATATAGATGACTGATTTTTGACAAGGGTGCAAAGGCAATTCAGTGGAGAAAGGATAGTCTTTTCAACAAATGGTGCTAGAACAATTGGATATCTATATGTGAAAAAAAAAAACCCACAAAACTTTGATGGATATCTTGCACCACATACAAAAGTTACTCCAAATGGATCACAGGCCTAAATGTAAAAGCTTAAATGATAGATCTTCTAGGAAAAAAAAAAAACAAAAGAAAATCTGTGTGACCTTAGGTTAGGCAAAGATTTCTTTGATATGACACCAAAAGCACTGTCCATAAGAGGAAAAACTAACAAATTGGATTTCATCAAAATTCAAACATTTGCTCTGTAAAAGACACTGTTTAGAAACTGAAAAGGCAAGCCATAGACTGGGAGAAAAATAATTGCAAGTAACACATCCAACAAACAAATTGTACCCAGAATACATAAAGAACTCTCAAAACTCAATAATAAGAAAACAAACAATCCAATAAAAAAGCAGTCAAAAGAGCTGAACAGACATTTCACCAAAGAAGATGCATGACATCAAATAAACACATGAAAAGATGCTCAACATCATTCGTCATTAGAAGCATGCAAATGAAAACCACATGAGATGCCACTACACATTATTAGAATGACTTAAGTAAAAAAAAAAATATGCAGAATACCAAATGTTGATGAAGATGTGGAGAAACTGAAACTCTCGTACATGGCTGGTGGGAATAAAGATGGCACAACCACTTTGGAAAACACTATTGGAGTTTCTTTTGAAGAAATTAAAGAAAGATCTACTGTATGATCAAACCATTCCTTTCCTAGGTATTTACACAAGAGAAAAGAAAGCATATGTCCATACAAAGGCATGTACATGAATGTCCATAGAAGCTTTATGGCAATAGCTAAACCTGGAAACAACACAGATGTCCATCAACAGGTGAAGAAATTCTGGCACATTTATACCATGGACCACTATTTGATATACAAAGGAATGAACTGTTGATACATGCAACAATGTGGATGGATCTCAAAATTATGTTACACCAAATAAGCCACACCAAAATAAATGTACATACTGTATGATTTTGTTTATATAAAACTGTAGAAAATACAAACTAAACTAGAGTGACAGAAAGCAGGTCAGTGGTTGCCTGGGGCTTGAAGGGATGAATTACAAAGGGGCCTGAGGAAACTTGGAGGGGCGGTTAGGGTTGGGTATGTTCAATATTTTGATTGTGATATAAGTATATGTCAAACCTTAATATTTTATGTTTTTATTTTTTTTTTCTGCCAGGAATACTGTGTTGAGGCAAAACTTATCATGCTGTGTTCTTTAAACATGTACAGTTTGTTGTGTGTCAATTAGACCTCCATAAAGCTGTTAGATATAAAAAAGAAGGAATACACCAGAAGTCCATATTATCATGAAGGGGAGAGATAGGGTAGGCATGGACTTATCCCCAAATTCTAAAATATTAGAACCAAGGCAATTCCCAAGATACTTGAATGAAAAAAAATTAGGGCAAACAAAATGAGAACCAGACTTATAAAATTCACAGAGCAACCATAACATGTTATCCCCCAGAGTGTTGGTGAAGGAACTTGAGGCTGTATGAGAAATGTTCCTGCTGGGCACAGTGGCTCATGCCTGTAATCCTAGCAATTTGGGAGGTGAGGTGGGAGGATCGCTTGAGGCTAGAAGTACAAGACCAGCCTGGCCAACATAGTGAGGACCTGTCTCTACAAAAAATTTAAAAATTAGCTGGGTGCAGTGGCACATGTCTGTACTTCCAGCTACTCAGGAAGTTTAGGCAGGAGGATCCCTTAAGACCAGGAGTTCGAGGCTGCATTAAGCTATCATGCCACTGCACTCCAGCCTGGGCAACAGAGTGAGACCCTGTCTCAGAAAAACACAACAACAACAACAACAACAACAACAACAACAACGACAACAACGCCTTTGAGAAATGTTCTGGTGTACTTCCTCAGCGCTGAGTGATCTTTTGAAATTGTTCACCTGACCAGGCTATTCTTCTTTCATCATTTCTGTGCTTCTACTTTCCAACAGAATTTCTTTACCTTGGATGCACATTAGAATCACTTGAAGAATTAAAAAAAAATACCAATGTTTGGACCCTACTCCTATAGATTTTGATTTAAATGGTCTCAGGTAGGGCAGAGAATTTTTTCTGAAGCTTCCTAGATAATTTTAATGTACAGATAAGGCTAAGAATCACTGTCCTATGGCTGGGCACAGGGGCTCACACCTGTAATCCTAGCACTCCGGGAAGCCGAGGTGGGAGGATTACCTGAGCTAAGGAGTTGGAGACCAGCCTGATCAACAGTGAGATCCCTAGGCCGGGTGCGGTGGCTCAGGCCTGTAATCCTAGCACTCTGGGAGGCTGAGGTGGGCGGATTGCTTGAGGTCAGGAGTTGGAAACCAGCCTGAGCAAGAGTGAGACCCCGTCTCTACTATAAATAGAAATTAATTGGGCAACTAATATATATAGAAAAAATTAGTCAGGCATGGTGGCACATGCCTGTCATCCCAGCTGCTCGGGAGGCTGAGGCAGTAGGATTGCTTGAGCCCAGGTTTGAGGTTGCTGTGAGCTAGGCTGACGCCACAGCACTCACTCTAGCCTGGGCAACAAAGCGAGACTCTGTCTTAAAAAAAAGAAAAAAAAAAAAAGAGTGAGATCCCCGTCTCTACTAAAGATAGAAAAAATTAGCCGGGTGTGGTGCTGGGCGCCTACAGTCCCAGCTACTTGGAAGGCTGAAGCAGGAGGATTGCTTGAGCCCAGGAGTGTGAGGTTGCTATGAGCTAGGCTGACGCCACGCACTCTAGCCTGGGCAACAGACAACAGAGTGAGACTCTGTCTCAAAAAAAAAACCCAAAAAAACAAAAAAACCCCACCAAAAACGAATCACTGTTCTGAAGCAGTGGTTCTCAAAGTACTCTTTTTGGCATCAGAGTCCCTTCGAGGGCTTGTTAAAACACAGAGTACTGGGCTCTACCTCCAGAGTTTCTGATTCAGTAGGACTGGTCTGGGGCCTGAGAATTTGTATCTCTATGTTCCTAGTTTATGCTGATGTTGCTGGTCCAGGGACCACACTTTGAGAACCATTGCCCAGCCTTCCGGGGACCATACTTTGAGAACCATTGCCCGGCCTTCCGGGGACCATACTTTGAGAACCATTGCCCGGCCTTAATCATAAAGCCTATGCTTGCCATGACCTACCAGCTCTACACTACCTGCTTCCTGTCTCTATAATTTCATTTCCAACTGCTCCTTACCTCAGAATCTCCTGCCATAATATTAATAAAAATCACTATGGTGCTCTCATGCCATGCTGTTTCATGCCACCATGCCTTTGTTTAGAATATGTCCCCTGCACTCCATCACTCTACACAGCAAACCTCCATTCATCCTTCAAGGCTAAGAGCATGTGTGTACCATGTTCTTCCTCTGTGAAGCCTTCACTGTCTCTCCCCCATGTAGAGTTGGACAAATGTTACCTGGATGCCCTCATTGATACTGCACCCTGCTGCTGTCATCCATATCTGTGCACAAATGTGCTCTAGCGAGCCAGGACAATTCTTTGTTCACCTCTGATTGCCAGTAGCTAGCGTAAGTCCTGTCCCAGAGTATGTGTTCAGTAAATGTCTCTGGATGAACTGAATTGGGAATTGTTTCCTTACTGGAACTTGGTATTATGGGTGTTGGGATCCCTGGAAACCCACATGGGCTTGTTAAGCCTTGGGATCCTGTGAGGATGCCAGAATTAGTGGGGTCACTTGTTCCTGAAAACTGATGAGATCTGAGTGGACAAATAAATAGGACTTTGAGCCAAAGCCAGCTCAGGTCACCAGGCTAACCAACTTGGCCATGGTCTACAATGGTAGCAGAAATGGAAAGGAACTTCAGCGATACCTGGAGGTTGGAAAAACTTACATAGTGACTGCAGTGTGATGGCAGAACAGTCTGCCTGCTTGTTTGTCCACTGGTCGGTCTGTCTGTGTGTCCCCAAGTCAGACCCTACCTGGATGTATAGGTACTCGAAAGCAGCGGGGTCCCGACGCAGGAGCTCCACAGGGTCTTTGGGAAAGAAGCTTATTCGGAAGAGGCATTTCATTCCGTGATAGTGTGTCCGCTGCACCACCTGAATCCCAGGATGAGAGGGGAGAGGAAAAGAAATCTGGAATCAATGGCCAGGGTGGTGGGTAGTCAGCTCAGTGACTCCTTAAGGTGGGCCTTGGGGCAGAGCCAGGGTGTTGTTTCCCATTCTGTCTCCCACTTGGCTGATTCCAATTCCCCTTAGAGGAAAGTGGTGATGACCCAGGTCTTTTCCACATTTCTGACCCAAAGTAAAAGGAATTTTTATTTTTTTATTTATTTTGAGACAGAGTCTTGCTCTGTTGCTCAGGCTAGAGTGCCATGGTGTCAGCCTAGCTCACAGCAACCTCAAACTCCTGGGCTTAAACAATCCTTCTGCCTCGGCCTCCCGAATAGCTGGGATGACAGGCATGCGCCACCATGCCCGGCTAATTTTTTATATATATTTTTAGTTGTCCAGCTAATTTCTTTCTATTTTTAGTAGAGACGGGGTCTCGCTCTTCCTCAGGCTGGTTTTGAACTCCTGACCTTGAGCGATCCGCCTGCCTCAGCCTCCCAGAGTGCTAGGATTACAAGCAGGCATGAGCCACCGTGCCCAGCCAGAATTTTTAAATCACTTATCCAGGACGTGACCTTTATGAACAATTGGATCTAAGGCCCAAGACACTAGGTAGAAAGAGAGGGCTCCTGGGAATTTCTCATACTCTTTTCTCACTGTGGGACTCAAGCCTTTACCTTGCAGAGGAGCTCAGCCTTGAGCAGAGGAAGTTGCTGATTATGAAGCCAAATCAAAGATTTAAAATCCCATGGCAAAGAATAGATGAAACAAGTTGGCAAGATATTGGTAATTGTCAAAGCTGGGGATGGGTAATAGGAATCATTATACTATATTCCTTCTACTTTTGTGTATGCTTGAAATTTTTCATAATAAAAAAGTTTAAAACCCCATTTGGAACAAGAGACCAATCGTATTCAAAGAGCTGCACAGGAGCTAGGGAGGCACTTAGGCCTCCCTCCAAGCAGGGCACCCACAACCTTTCCTTCCCACCTGGGAGTTTCTGGATTGCATTTGGCTGAGAACTAAACTTGAAGAATATTTCTTTCCAAAAATCCTTTCAGCTTTCATTTTTTTGTGTGTAAATTGGTTTTTATTTGGCTTCCACGTAGGCTCTGAAAAGGTATTTCTTCCCAACTGTTCCTATTCAACTCTGTCTCACTCTACCTGGCAATTGACTGGTTGCCTTTCTGACACTTCTTGGTGCTTCACTGTAAGTGAAATGCTGTCCACCAATCCTGGATTTTCCCAGCTTTCTTCCATATGGGGAGGGCCAGGAAGACCAGGCAGTTTTTCCCACTCCACCTTGGAAGGTGATGTGGGTGGCATGCTGCCTGTTCTTGGCCCTGCTCAGGCCATTTCCAACTCTCACTAGTCCTACTCTCACTAGATTACATTCCCTGACCCTTCTGTATTACAGCCTTCATCCAAAAGGCCAGATTTCCTCCCTGAAAGCAGAAAAATCTAGCAGGTGGGGTTTGCAGGACACAGGAGACTTGCCACTGCTCTGTAACTCAGCATTCCGGATGCCCTGCAGGGATTTCCTACCCCACACTCTTCCCGCTAGACACGGAGACTAATAATCTTCATGCCCTTCTCAGGCCACTCACAAAGGGCATTGTCAAAAGCCCTCTGGAGGTGGGTGGTATCAGCTTTGGGTGAGAACTGTGACTTCTGGGAGCTGTCTGAGCACATCATTATGTTTCCAGACAGGGAGTGCCTTAGGTCCTCTTTTATACTGGAGGCCACGCGCAAAGCTATCAAGCCAGGAGAAAGGAGTTACTTACATAAGCCAGGGGCTGCTTGTCCTGGAGAAGCAGAAACTTGTGATTCTGTTCTGGCCCAGCATATTCAAGGACAAGAGCAAAGTGCTCAATGTACCTCAGGGAAAGACGGTCCTGTAATGTCACCATCACATCCTGTGGAAGAGAAAAGAGCCTTGAGAGGGAGAGCTGTTCTGGCTCTAAGCTATTCTAAGCACCAAACATGGGAGGGGGGATCGAACACCAAGAAAGACAGTTCTGGGGAAAAGGCTTGCGACATCAGCCTTTATGACAGCCCCAATACTGTGCTTCAGGATGTGACCCATGAGTGCTACTCAGAGTCCTGGGCCCTGGGAACATCAAAGGTGCAGGGGATATAGGAAGGTGTTTCTGTTTTTTTCTTTTTTGTTGTTGTTGTTATTTATTTTTCTTTTTTTCTTTTTCATGAGCCATCAGATCAGAAGAGGAAGGTGTTTCTGAATTCCACCCGGCCAGGCATATGGCAAAAGAAGGTCGTGTCTCTCTGTCCCTCCCTCCCTCCCTCTCTCCTTCCATTCCACAAATTATTTCCTGAATGCTTATTAAGTGCCAGGCACTGTGTTGGTTCTTCCCTCACCTTTTCTTATAAGTCAGAACGTCCACTCAGGTTTGTCTGTCAACAATTTACTTAGGAATGAACAAAAGCAAAACCTACATTGATAGGATTAAAAAGTGTACTATTTCTGGATTCATAATCTAAATCAAATGACTTGAGTTACTGGCAAAATGTTCACTTGTGACCGTATCTGGCTTTTATAGACGATCAATTTAGCAACTTGAAAAATATATCCAAGCAGAGAAACTATGTCATGTGTCTTGTGTACAGTCATAAATCTGACTACTTCTTCGCTCCGTCTGCTCTGCTGCCCTACTTTTAATATTAGGGTGTCTGGAAACATATTGGTGGGGGCTGCCCAAATGTCAGTTTTGAGATTTCTGCCACCTATTTGCTGTGACTTTGGCTTATACACCGGGATCCAGTGTGTGTGTGTGTGTGTGTGTGTGTGTGTGTGTGTGTGTGTGTGTATTCATGGAGTTGGCATCTCTCAGCCTCCAAAGGCTTAGGAGTGTGAAGCTCCCTTACAACCAGGGTTGCCAAACAAGCCCCCCAGTGAACACTGAAAGACGTTCAGCCACTCAAATGTTAGGCTGGAAATTGGTGAATACTTGAGAGCATCTCTTTGTGTTATCCAAGTAGTCACAGAGGCGCCAGTGTTGCTGGAGCTCTGTCAGGGACAGATGAGGTTTTCTTTGCAGTTCGGCTGCGTTGGGATTGTGGACAGCCAAGCCAGTGATTGCCAACTGGTGTTACAAGTGTAACAGCCCCTGTGCCAGGCTGTCAATTCACCCAGGTACCTCTCTGGGACAAGTGGCTTGGCAGCCTGTCAAAGTCCCAATAAATAGCCAGTACACCCTTCCTGAAGTCAGAGAGAGATCACGAGAGAGGGGAACACTGCAGTCCTGGAAGGCTGGGGCTACCTGGAAGCCACATTTGGCGGTGATGATATAAAGTGAGAGAATCTTGGAGAAGCCTCCAAGGGGAAAGAGAGGGCAGTAAACACTCAGTGTGGGGACAGAATCTACAGTGGACATACCAACCCATGAATAAACAGTGAGGAGGATTCTGATACAAAGAGATATCCACATCTGGACGAGAGATATTTGGACACCCCTTGGGTGGCTTATTTCTGTTTCAATGCCCCTTCCCATTGCCTGAGACCTTCAATAGCCCAGAGACCATCCCATGGCACCCTAAGGAGAACATCCTAGGTCCCCTAGGGGACCCACCCAGGCCTAAGCCTTCCAAAGAAATTCTTGGTTCAATCAACATGGTTTAGTCACAGTGTATTGCAATGAGGGTGCTACTGGCACTTTGGGCAGGACAATTCTTTATCATTCAGGGGCTGTCCCACTCCCTGCACAACACTTAGCATGTCTGACCCTGAGACACCAAATCACTGGGATGGCCCCAAAATACCCACTGTCTTTCTGGAGAGAGTCCAGAAGGAGCAGGAATGGATATTTCTGTCCCAGAACAGAGTGGATCTGGGGACTTAATTGTATCATTGCCTCTACTCCTCAGGACTAAGAGAATCACTACGACTTACAGACGCCTGGCTGAGCTGTTAAGAATCACAGCTCACTAACTGCTCTTCCTGAGAAAAGAACAGCCAAAGGGGCTACGGCTGGATTTTTCAAATCTTGGTTCACTGCTTAAGATCTGGTTGTTATTTAAAAAGCAAGGCCTGGCTAAACTAATCTCTCAAGAGATTGTGTTTGTTTATTTCTGTGTGTAAACTTGCGTAGGTGTCATTGTATCAATATAAATCACTTTTGCTTATTATAAATGGTTTAATGATCTTCACATTCCTTAGTTCCTAAGTTCCTGAAGGACCCTGTGTAATATGAATACAAAACAGTTCACAAGTAGATGTGTGCCCATGTGCCCAGATGTGTGCACACACACAGTTTTGACAGTGACTAGCACATAGTTGGACATGCAACTTTCTACCACCATCCTCATCTGAGGCCTGCATTTTTGCAGCCTTGTGCTCACGAGCATTGGGAGCTAAAGTCCTTCTTGCTCTGGCAGCAAGCAGTGATGTGTAGACTCAGAGGAACACGGGACAAACAGCTGTGTGTATTCTGGAGGGGTCAATGTTGGCCTGGGAGAGGAGACTCTGTATGTACCTTAACAGTGGTCCGGCCATCAAATGTGAATGATTTGATCTGCCCATTTTCTAAGAAAACCTTCAGGACGTTGGGGATGAGGAGGAGAGCTTCCTTCTTCATCATTTTCTGTGAACAAGCAGAAAAGAACAAAGACAGAGGCTCATTTAGGAGGAGGGAAGTGAGAGGAAGAGTGTAGAAAGGAAGAGAGAAAAGGTGAAAGGGACAGGGAGCCAAAGGTGCAGGAGGACAAAGAGACAGAGCAAAGAGCAGGTCATAATAATGCTACATGGGGACTGGCACCAAATTCCCCAAGAAGACACTGGGCCATGTCAAAAATCCACCCTTCATTTAAAATCATGGTGCACCCACTGTGGTTCAAATCGCCCCAGGTTAGAGCAGTCCTTGGCCCACAGAGACCATCACACACTCCCTGAAAGGCTGATGAAGGGCCTCCTTCAGAGCACACCTCACTCATCTGATTCTACCTCCTGATACGTCCTTTCCCACCAGGCACTTCGCAAGCCATCGATGCCTTTGCTCTGCCATTCCCCCTCCCCTATGGCATCCTAGGCCCTTTGTGACCTGGCCCCTGCCTACCTCTCCAGAGTCATGTCTTCCCATTCCCAGTTCCCATGCCTCTTTCATGCCTCCATACCTCTGACACGTCTTCATCATTCAGGGACTGTCCCACTCCCTTCAGGACACTTAGCATCTCTGATCCCAAGACACAAAATGCCAGTAGCACACCAAATCTCTGGGATGACTCAAAACACCCTCAGCCATTTCTGAAACGTCTCTAGGCATGAGCAGTACTGACCCTGACTGAGGATCACTGGCCAGGCCTCTTTCTGAGCACCTGACAACTCCTTAGCAAAAGTTTTCCTTGCTCAGAGGTTTCCTGACTTATAGAGTGCTGTATGTTAAGTTCTCAGTAAAAATTCATTAAATAAAGGCTGTTTTCGCTACCTCTCTCTTTTCCTCCTTGGCAAACTCCTATTCATCCTTCAAAATCCCACGTGATTGTCAGACACATGGACCTGGTCTTCCTATGCATTCCTATAGTAATTTATACAAACTTCTCACAGTGCTCTTAGCATATTTTTGAAGAATATTTGTCTTTCAGAATCAAATGGAGAACTCAGAGCACAATAACTATGTCCTATTCATCTTCGTAGTACCAATACTAAACTGAGTTCCTGGCACACAGTTGGTGCTCAATAAATGGCTGCTGATGAATGAGCAGTAGGTGCTTAATATGTACTTATTTGAATGATTACATTTCCCTGGGTTGACCCATCAGTTCTGCAGAAACCAGAAAGCTACATAGATGGCCAAAATCCTTAATTATGGGCATTCATTGAGCCTCTACTGTATACCCAGCACTATGCTAAGTCCCCATGAGGGATACAACAAAAATAGAGAACATGATCCCAGTCTTACACTTATATTATAGTGACCTGGCATACACACACATTAGAAAACCAAACCACCAGGTACAAGACAGCTAAAGTTTCCCAGATGAGGCAAATTAGATTTTGATTTTGAAGGAGATGGTAGATGTGGATTATTAGAGAAGCCGGAAAACAACAGTCCAGTTCTAGAAACTGTCACAGATCAAGGACAAAGCATGGAAACAGGAACAAGCAAGTCCCTCCTGGGGTGGGTTGCTGGTGGTGAGGAGTCAGGAGTCAGGCTTGGCTGGGGTCAAGCCAAAGTGGGAAGTGATGGGATATAAAGTTGAAAAGGTGTAACTCTCTGGTCCTCTCTGTGATCCTGAGATGCCTTGCTCCCGCTAAGCCCAGAGGCCCTGGATCCCTGGGCTGATGACGCGCAGCGGTGGCAAGTTTTATTTAGCACACTGGGTTGGACTCAGATAATTACTTAATTGATTTTGCTTAAAAATAGAGTTGGCAAGGAACGCCCACAGGATTTATTTTTGTTCTGGCTGCTTAATAAAGCCTTGGAACACAAAGGGAAAGGGATGATGGGACAGCCCGGAGTCACCTGGGCCTGGAGGCCCCCAGTCCGGACCAGTGATGAGGCTGCTATGGTCCACACTGGCGGCAGAGGTGCTGTTGTAACATCAGGTAATTTCCTAAGCACAGCAAGAGTGGGAAGATTGATGTCTGTCTCTCTCCCAGACAAGAGCCTTGCACCATGTCTGGTGGCGTGTCCAGGAGAAAGAGAAGCCACTCTGGGTGGGTCCTACCTACTCTGGGACATTGGTGTTCAGATTATACTGCAGTGGGGGCTTGAGTCTGCCTGTGGCCTAGCTGTGACGCGTGGAGAGGGGAGCCATGGCAAAGGGAGGAGAGAGTGGAGAAGGGAGAGTGGAAGGGAGACGAAGAGAGGGGAGGGGAGGGAGTTCCTCACTGGGTGGCCAGGCCTTGATTGATTACTCTGCAATGTTGGGATGGGATAGGATGCACCTGTCCATACTTTCCAAATTCAAGTCATATGTCCTCTGGCTTTTCAAGGGCTCAGGACACAAATGTCCCCTTGGTGACTTGGAATTCAGGATCTGCTTCACCCTGCTCTGCACGGACTCCATACTGCTCCCTTTCCTCTCTGTTTACCGACCCCCACTTCTTTTCAACCTTTTCTGCTAGGATTGACATGGATCTCAGGCACCAATGATTCAGACAGCTTGCCCAGTGGGGTCCTGTAGTCCCTTGGGCTTGCCAGCCTTCTGTACAGAGAAGGAGGAGGGCATGGGCTGAGCTTGGGATGAGAGTCAGGGAAATAGCGATGGAAGACACCTGTGTTCTCTATCCCTTCTTCTCAATGACTCTGCCTCAAAGAACTACAGAAGTGCCTGGCATCCTGCTGATTTCCCTGCTCAATCTGGTCCTGCTAGCTTCTCTCAACAACTGCAGCTGTGCCTCCGTACGTAAATGCCAAGGGCCCCCCTGACAGCCGTGCCTGCCATAGCCTGCAAAAGCACACAAGTGCCTGTCAGTTCCAGCTATCCCCTCCACCCTCACTGGGATGTCACCAACTTCCGCAGATTCCTGGGGGACTCTCGGCCGGACCCATGACTGCTGAACACACATCTTTCTGCTGTCCACCCATATCTTCTTATTTGCACATCTGGAGCAGACAGCTTGCTGCATGTAAACCCCACAAAGCAGTGAGAAATACTACAACTGGCCAGGACCCCCCCACACACACACACACATTATTAGCTGCATGGCATGGGCTGGTAAACATTGCCTGCTCCTCAAAACCATACCACCCACTGGTGGATTCTACATTCAATCTGAACCACTGGTACCCCGCCCCAACGTTGCTGAGAGGTATCCAGTAGCAGGGAACAGGTATTTATTTTGACCCCCCCCATCACTGGGAAAACAGTAGGTGCCTAATAAAAACGTGGTGCTTTGATGAGAGTCTGTATCATTTGCCCTAAGCAGATTCACCCATCACCGCAGTCTTCTCCAGTCAAGATATGGGGTTGCAGGATCACTTAGATGTAAAGAGAGCTCAACTTCAGCAGCCACTCGTTCCCTGGAACCAGAAAACCATCACTTCCTTCCTATTTCTATCAAGTAGCCAAAAGATGCTTATGGAGCACTTGCTCTGGGTGTAAGCTATTTTGTGTCAGGGATGGAAATTTCTCTAAGGACCAGGAGGATCCTGGTTGAACCGATAGTATTCCTTCTCTCCTCTCAATGCCCAGGGCCTTTCTGGATCTCACACACTCCTCTTCCCTCACTACCCCCACCCCACCCACAGCACCAGGACCCTCCCACTGCAACTCATTCAGAACGCCACCGTGCACCCTGAGTAGCCCCACAGGGAGACCTCAACAGCCAGGATGATTCTGGCTGAGGGCTGAGGGGAGAGAGCCAAAGCCGCACTTACTGCATCTGTTTGTCCAACTGCCACCTGCTCAGAAAATCGAACCTTCACAGGTTTGGACCTCAGCTTGGCCTTCTTCGCAGCACTGATGAAGGCAGATTTGGGGGACTGAAAAAGAACAGAGAGCTGGTGAGTTGTCTATCCGTGGGGAAAACCTGACCATTGTCATGTCAGAGTTAAGATGTCCCAGTACAGGTACACTTTGCCTTACTGATTAAGGAGTCAATAAATAAGTATCGATCACCTACTTGGTATAAGGCAATGTGCTAAGTGCTTCCCTATATGATTGGTGTGTTCTGAAAAAGTTGGGCATGAATTGAAATAAACTGAATCCTATTATTAATGTTCTATGCCTAGGGGAGTTTGCAAAAAATTCTTTAGTAATGACATATACTGAATTTTTTTTTTTTTTTTTTTGGAGACAGAGTCTCACTCTGCTGCCCGGGCTAAAGTGCCATAGCGTCAGCCTAGCTCACAGCAACCTCACACTCCTGGGCTCAAGCAATCCTTCTGCCTCAGCCTCCTGAGTAGCTGGGACTACAGGCACGTGCCACCATGCCTGGCTAATTTTTTCTATTTTTAGTTGTTTGGCTAATTTCTTTCTATTTTTAGTAGAGATGGGGTCACACTCTTGCTTAGGCTGGTCTTGAACTCCTGAGCTCAAGCAATCCTCCTGCCTTGGCCTCCCAGAGTGCTAGGATTACAGAATTTCTTTCTATTTTTAGTAGAAACGGGGTCACACTCTTGCTCAGGCTGGTCTCGAACTCCTGACCTTGAGCGATCCTCCCACCTCGGCCTCCCAGAGTGCTAGTATTATAGATGTGAGCCACCAAAATTTTTATATATTTGGTTTTCTTAATGTGAGACAAATCTAAATAGTGGTTTTTATTACATCTGAATATAAGAATCCCAAATAATTTACAGAAATGGTCTTAGCTCACAGATATGCCCTACCCCTAAAAAGAAGGCACATAACATTTATTATTTTAGATGTGGGAGAAAGGAGACCTAGCACACAAACATGATTTATCTACAGTTGCTACACTATTTGGGAATAGAGATGTGGGAGCATTAACCCAGGTCTTCTGGCTTTCTAGTTCTAGGCTCTGCACCACTTTGTTTATCAATTCTGAAAGAAATGCCCAAATAATCAGCTAGGTTCTTTAGTTCTTAAAAAGTTGCCCTGGTCGGGCATGGTGGCTCACGCCTGTAATCCTAGCATTCTGGGAGGCCCAGGCGGGCAGATTGCTCAAGGTCAGGAGTTAGAAACCAGCCTGAGCGAGACCCCATCTCTACTAAAAATAGAAAGAAATTAATTGACCAACTAAAAAATATATATATATATATACACAAAAAATTAGCCGGGCATAGTGGCGCATGCCTGTAGTCCCAGCTACTCGGGAGGCTGAGGCAGGAGGATTGCTTGAGCCCAGGAGTTTGAGGTTTCTGTGAGCTAGGCTGATGCCATGGCACTCATTCTAGCCCGGGCAACAAGGTGAGACTCTGTCTCAAAAAAAAAAAGTTGCCTACACACCAGGCCCAGTGGCTCATCATGCCTATAATCCTAGCACTTTGAGAGGCTGAAGGAGATTGCTTAAGGCCAGGAGTTTGAGACCAGCTTGAGAAAGAGGAAGACCCCATTTCTACAAAAAAAAATAAAATAAAAATTAGCCAAGCGTATTGGTATATGCCTGTAGTCCCAGCTACTTGGGAGACTGAGGCAGGAGGATCGCTTGAGCCAAGAAGTTTGAGGTTGCTGTGAGCTGTGATGATGCCAATGCATTCTACCGGGGGTGACAGAGCAAGATCCTATCTTGAAAAAATAACAAAAACAAAAAGTTGCACACAAATTCAGCGGGAAGCATGATTAGCAATCACTGGAAACTAAGCCTTTCCTGGGTGCTCCTTGGATTCTAAGCCCCTGCTGAGCTCCAAACAGCCCAGCAGCCAGGAAATGCAGGAGCCAAGCTGAGGGGCATCCTCATATCTTTGGGGACACTTATTCATTCATTTGACAAACTGACGGAGAGCCTACTACATGCCAGGCACTGTTCCAGGTGATGAGGGATAGAGCAGTGAATAAGACAAACGCAACTCCCTGGCCTCATGGAGTGTCCTTTCTAGCGGGGGTAAACAGACAATAAACAAATATCTTTTAGGTAGCAATTAAGGACTGTGAGGAAAAATAAGGCAGGGTAAGAGACTACACAAGAGGATGAGTGAGTGAGTATGGCAGTGGTGGGGGGTTATTTTAGCAATTTTGAACTATACATTATTATAACTATAGTCACCATGCTGTGTAATAGATCTCAAAAAACGTATTCCTCCTGTCTAATTGAAACTGTGTGCCCTTTGAACAGCATCTCCCATTCCCTCCTTTACCCCAGCCTCTGGTAACCACCATTCTACTCCCTACACTTCTATGAGTTAGAGTTTTTTAGATTCCACATATAAGTGAGGTCATGTGGTATTTGTCTTTCTGTGCCTGGCTAATTTCATTTAGCATAATGTCCTCCAGTTTCGTCCATGTTGTCACAAATGACAGGGTTTCCTCCTTTTCTATGGCGGAATAGTATTCCATTGCATATGTACCACATTCTCTTTATCCATTCATTTGTTGATGGACACTCAGGCTGATTCCATATCTTGGCTATTGTGAATAGTGCTGCAATGAATATGGGAGTGTAGATCTCTCTTCAACATACTGATTCCGATTCCTTTTTTTTTTTTTGAGACAGAGTCTCGCTTTGTTGCTCAGGCTAGAGTGAGTGCCGTGGCGTCAGCCTAGCTCACAGCAACCTCAAACTCCTGGGCTCAAGCAATCCTGCTGCCTCAGCCTCCCGAGTAGCTGGGACTACAGGCATGCGCCCCCATGCCCGGCTGATTTTTTTCTATATATATTAGTTGGCCAATTAATTTCTTTCTATTTATAGTAGAGACAGGGACTCACTCTTGCTCAGGCTGGTTTCGAACTCCTGACCTCGAGTAATCCACCCACCTTGGCCTCCCAGAGTGCTAAGATTACAGGTGTGAGCCACCGTGCCCAGCCTCCAATTCTTTTTTTTTTTTTTTTTTTTTTTTTTTAGAAACTCTGAGGAAGGAACCAGCCTCCAATTCTTTTGGATACACAGAATTGGGATTGTAGGATGTTATTTTAGACAGGATAGTGAGGGAAGACCTCTCTGAGGAAGGGACATTTAAGTAGAGACCTGAAGGAAGTAAGGAAGAGACAGCCATGAGGCTATCTGGAGAAAGAGGTTTCTGGACAGAAAGAACAGTAAAGAGTTTAGAATCTGACCTTATTAAAACAGGAAGGGGCTGCGCTTGGTGACTCACGCCTGTAATCCTAGCACTCTGGGAGGTTGAGGCGGGAGGATTGCTTCAGCTCAGGAGTTCTCATGAGAAACCAACCTGAGCAAGAGCAAGACCCCGTCTCTACAAAAAATAGAAAAAGTAGCGGACTGTGGTGGCACATGCTTGTAGTCCCAGCTACTCGGGAGGCTGAGGCAGGAGGATTGCTTAAGCCCAGGAGTTTGAGGGTGCTGTGAGCTAGGCTGATGCCACGGCACTCTAGCCCAAGCAACAGAGTGAGACCCTGCCTTAAAAAGAAAAAATGTCTAACTGCAATAATACGGTTAAAATATGATGGAGGCTGGGGCTAGGATGGTAATAATGGGAAAGATGAAAAGTGAGTGAATCCTGCATATATATATTTTTTAATTTTTTTCAATCAGCTTTCTCAGGTTGAAAAATTATGTATATATTTTGAAGACTGAATCAAGATGATATATTGACGGACGGATGTGGGGGGTGAGAAAAAGAGAGGGTCAACTGGAAGAATGGAGTTGCCATTTGCTGAGATGAGGAGGACTGGGGAGCGAAACAGGTTTGGGTGGGAGTACTTTAAACCACCTCCCTCTGTGGGCCTTGCCATTGGAGCCTGTGAGTCCTACAATCAGGAATTCCTTTGTGTTAAGGCCCTGAAGGTCCCTGCCAGCTGGGAAGGCAATGCATTAAGCTATTATCGTCCATTTACACTGCAGTTGAGATTCATTTACTAGATCAGCCACAGGAGGGCAGGGCCATAAGATAAAGACACATCAGAAACAAACATCCTTATCACATCTTGGGCCCTGGTCCCAGCTGTGTTCTCCATCGGAGCCAGCAATGGCATTCCCCACAGAGGGCAGATTGCAAAAAGCCACGTGTTCCACCTGAGTCCAGCAGAAACTCAAGCAGTGGGTCTCAGTCCTGGCTGCATAGTGGAAACACTGGAGGAGCTTCTCAAAATCCTGAAGCCCAGGCCCCACCCCAGATCAATTATATCAGAATTCCTAGGGGTGGGGCCTGAGCATTGGTATTTTAAAAAGCCTCCAATGATTTAAAAGTGCAGCCAAGAAGAAGAACCACTGAGCTAAAGGAACCCTAGGCTTGTCACCCTGAGCCACGGAGGCAATTTGTTGGCAGCAGATGATATAGCACAATGAAATCCAGTGCTGGAGATTGCTGCAGAAAGTGATTACAGTATTGATTGTTCATAGAGTCGATAAATGCCTTTGTGTGTTACATAGCCAGGTGCTCCGATACTGGGCAGGGTCTGCAGGCTGAGGCAGGAGCAAGAGGAAGGGGCAAGATAGAAAGATCTATAGCCACGCTGAGGCAGCTCTGCTTGACTCCATCTCTACAGTCATCGCAAGTTCCACCAATGTGCCACAAACATGAGGCAGGTGGAATCTTCATTCTACCTGACAGTCACCTTCTCTCTTCTCTGTGATCATCTGCCCTCAGATTCCTCCATGGCACAATGTGGAATGAAGTATCTCTAGAGACTTGAATGGGCCATGCAGTCTATCCTTCACTTTTACATTGAAACAGAGGCCCAGGAAGATACTTTACCCAAAGTATCAAAATAATTGAGTAGCAGAGCCAAAACCAGAACCCAGATTTCCTGAGTCTTGCATGGGTGATTATGCCTCTACAGCAAGCTGAAGCTGGGAGTCCCTTCCTGATCTTTCATCCACTGGTTCTGGTTCTACCTTGGTCCTATGTGATGGATTCCAACAAATGAAGCAGAATCTCAACTGGTATCCTTTTATGTATTCACCACA